TTTTCAAAAACCTAGTAATACTTTGCCCGACCCGAGGATTGAACACTTACCTGGCAGTCGCATTTGGTACCACTCAAACTCAAACTCAAAAGCAATTATTTCAATTTGGTACTTTTGAAACGTCAACAAATATGAAATAAATAATAGTCCGTCAGTCTGTCCGTCAGTGAAGCTAGGCGCTCGTTCCAAAATGTCGATTCGAGTGGAGAAGAATGAGCAAGAAACTCCAATGCCAACGCGGCCAATTAACAAATTTATATAGCTGAAATCAACTTCAATCTAGATTCTTTTAAAACGACTTTTTTCATCATATCAATAGTAACATGAATCATGAAATATTTCACTAAAGCAAACTATATTTTATGATTCAATAGTTGAAACTAAAGTAACACAGTAACTATCTTTACTTAGGTACCTTACTGCGCCCATTTCCTGCCCACCTCATTGGACTAATATGGCGCAATGATATCGTATCATCACACGCCTGCATGACGAAAAGTTTCGGTAAATTTTACACGTGTTATTTTTAATGGGGTAGGATAACCAAATGTGCAGACGGATCACCTGATGGTAAGACAATTGGTGTTGCCCATGGACACCTGGAACACTTTTTATTCAGGGGGGTAAATTATCGGATGACTTCTCCCTCCTGGGTGAGGCGGGAAAACCTCTTACTAACTAAAACCACCCCGTTCCTACTCCTGCACTTCGAGCCGGAGCCCCGGTAACCCGTTAGGATCTCCGTGACTCCGTATCGGCATCAGCCCTATTGGGCCCCATCCGTGGTGGTCAACTGGAACGCTAGAGGAGTTACTAATTTTGTGTCGTCCTTTTGCGGGAGAAATTGGGCCATTTTTATGGGATGAGCATGTAAACGAGCAAACGGATCATCTGATGATAAGCAATCGGCGTCGCCCAAAAAAAATCACGGTACACGTATGAGAGCTACTCCTTCATTCCATTTTCATTTTAAGCAAAAGTCGTCCGTCCCACTGCAGGGCAAAGGCCTTCCTACCTTTCTTCCATTCATCTTTTTTTTAAGCTACCCGATTCCAATACACCTTTAAAACGCCAATGTTTAAATCTCTTTTTTATGAGATAGGTTACCAATCGGCGTCGTCCATTGACACCCGAAAAACCAAAGGCATTACAAGTGCCTTACCGGCTTTTTGAGGATTAGGAATTTGAATGTTGTTGGAGATTCAGGGATTAGGGAGACTAGACCTCCGGTAACCTCACTTACACGACAAAATACAACGCAAGCGTTGTCTCACGCCGGTTTTTGTGTAAGGCCGTGTTGTGCCAAAGCGTAACTCTATCACGAGAATTCGGATAACACTCTTCCTTTATCACTTATCTGTGACTGGATCGACAACACACAGCTGTAACTGTGAAGTTGATGGCCAACCCTCCTGTTGATGACCAAAACTCAAGACCAATGTAGGGAAACCATAAAATGCATATTCATTAATTTAGTTCAATTTTTATAACTAGATGGCGTTGCCGCAACCTATGGTTTCGTTACATCGACTTGCTTAAGATGGTGATTTTTTGTATGTACTGAGATCGAACCAAAACGAATATATGAACCAGCAGTTCAAGCACTAAATACAAAGTTTCAATTTAACCCCTATTAGTAGCTACATCAGATCAACATTACTTCGGTAATAATCACCTCCTATGTAGAGGAGGCTCACTCATGGCCCAGCAGTAGGCTGCCACTGGCTGTAGAAAATCTAGCTAATGACCTCAACAAAGATATCTGCATTAGCAAAATGCCTCCTTAAAAATAGATTTATGTTTATATCAAATCAACGCTTAAGAAATACATTATTTATCTAATAAGCGAATTGATTGATTTATTTACTTTATTCAAATTGACCTTCGACAGGCTTAATTTGATGTCGAAAGTGTAGTGGCTGCGGGTTCATGCAAACGGTTTCGATAGATGTGACAAACAGCTCATGTATAGAGATTGTCCAGTCAACTGATGGTAGCGGTGACTGGCCAGGCGACACACGTACTTAGGTATCGTCATGAGCCAATGTTCACATGTAAACAGCAGCTCATGTAAAGAGATTGTCCAGTCAACTGATGGTAGCGGTGACTGTCCAGGCGACACACGTACTTAGGTATCGTCATGAGCTAATGTTCACATGTAAACAGCAGCTCATGTAAAGAGATTGTCCAGTCAACTGATGGTAGCGGTGACTGGCCAGGCGACACACGTACTTAGGTATCGTCATGAGCTAATGTTCACATGTAAACAGCAGCTCATGTAAAGAGATTGTCCAGTCAACTGATGGTAGCGGTGACTGTCCAGGCGACACACGTACTTAGGTATCGTCATGAGCTAATGTTCACATGTAAACAACAGCTCATGTAAAGAGATGGTCCAGTCAACTGATGGTAGCGGTGACTGTCCAGGCGATACACGTACTTAGGTATCGTCATGAGCTAATGTTCACATGTAAACAGCAGCTCATGTAAAGAGATTGTCCAGTCAACTGATGGTAGCGGTGACTGTCCAGGCGACACACGTACTTAGGTATCGTCATAAGCTAATGTTCACATGTAAACAGCAGCTCATGTAAAGAGATTGTCCAGTCAACTGATGGTAGCGGTGACTGTCCAGGCGACACACGTACTTAGGTATCGTCATGAGCTAATGTTCACATGTAAACAGCAGCTCATGTAAAGAGATTGTCCAGTCAACTGATGGTAGCGGTGACTGTCCAGGCGACACACGTACTTAGGTATCGTCATGAGCTAATGTTCACATGTAAACAGCAGCTCATGTAAAGAGATTGTCCAGTCAACTGATGGTAGCGGTGACTGTCCAGGCGACACACGTACTTAGGTATCGTCATGAGCTAATGTTCACATGTAAACAGCAGCTCATGTAAAGAGATTGTCCAGTCAACTGATGGTAGCGGTGACTGTCCAGGCGACACACGTACTTAGGTATCGTCATGAGTTAATGTTCACATGTAAACAGTAGCTCATGTAAAGAGATTGTCCAGTCAACTGATGGTAGCGGTGACTGTCCAGGCGACACACGTACTTAGGTATCGTCATAAGCTAATGTTCACATGTAAACAGCAGCTCATGTAAAGAGATTGTCCAGTCAACTGATGGTAGCGGTGACTGTCCAGGCGACACACGTACTTAGGTATCGTCATGAGCTAATGTTCACGTGTAATCAGCCGCTCATGTAAAGAGATTGTCCAGTCAACTGATGGTAGAGGTGACTGTCCAGGCTTACTTGGGTATTTGAATTTTATTATTACATCTGGTTTTAAAGTTGCCTGTAGGCATCATTACGGACATAAGGTTCTTTCGTAAGTACGTAATAAAGTCTACCGCAAAGGTCATGTAAGGTCATAATAAATTCTCTTAAAAAACTGTGTCATATGAACATTTTTTATTGCAAAATTTTGTGTAAATACAAACTTGATTCTTGATGAACAGGGTACTTCATAACTTTTATAAAGTTTTTTATATTCGATACAAACGAGCAATCACCTGATGGTAAGCAATCAGCATCGCCTGTACTTGCAGTACAAGGAGAATTGGTTTGATATCTACGCCTGAATAGGGTAGATGCCTAATTTTTATTTTAATGTCCGTCTGGTAGGTTATTTTAAATCATTAAACACGTATTTTTTATTTTCTTACAGAAACGAATACTTTCGACGATATATTGATTTGAAATGTCGCGTGACGTCACTTCTATGCACATTTTATACGTAGAAATGACGTTTTAGCCCCCACTAGTAAACTTTGATTCGTTTTATCTAAGTATTGTTTTATTATACGACAAAATAAAAAAATACGTGTCTAATATTTTTTCATTACCTAACTGACGGACTAATTAGATTTTTGATTTTCATACCCTGTCGTCATCTCTATTGCGGGTTTGAGATTCCAGTATAAAAGGTTCAGGTTTATCGAAGATTGCTGTTGCCCGGTCTCTGTTAAATATGCATAACATAACATCACGCCTTTTATCCCTAAAGGGGTAGGCAGAGGTGCACATTACGGCACTTAATACCACTGTAAAATTTTTCACTATCTTTGTTATGAGTCTAGTACTACTAAGATTATTTTTAAAACCCAGTTATACCCCTTGCCCGGCAGTCGCACTTGCGACCACTCGGCCAACGAGGCAGTCTATTTGTCTCTGTATTGTCTGTTTGTAATATAAAAATAACCGCTTTTTACTATATGTATATAGAAACTCCTCTGGAGTTGCAGTTGCCAGGAACGGCGATTGCTTACGATCAGGTGATCCGTTTGCTCGTTGCCGTTCTTTTAAAAAATAAGGCACTGGTCGATCAACAAGTCAAAGTAGTAGACACATATTTATTCTTTTATTTCCATTTTTATTACAAGACTATCTACTTCCGCGCGCTCTGCTCAGCTCCTCATGTTTCATAGCCTGTAGTGTAGCCGTAGGTCGTAGCGTGATGTTTTATAGCCTACAGCCATCCTCGATAAATGCGCTATCCAACACAAAAAGAATTATTCAAATCAGACTTGTAGTTACGGAGATTAACGCGTTCAAACAAACAAACAAAAAAACAAACTCTTCCGCTTTATATAATAGTATATAAGTATATATATAAGATACGGTGTTGACATTCCTTTTAATACTTCTCGGTTTCAAGGCTTCACGTGCAACGCAATGTTTTTATTTTTATCCTCAATTCTTGTCGAGTTATTAGTGACAAAAACTAAGAAATGGATGATTGGACTGCTAAGAATAATTCAAAGTATAATTATGAAATAAACCTGAGTTTATGTTGACCACACTGGCTTGTGGAATTGTATCCATCCCATGGATTGAGTTTTATGGTCTCTGTATTGAATGTTGCTTTAAATGCCATTTAGCGTAGTATTTCGAGTGATACTTAAAAAGATAAGAAAAGACTACTTATACGTTTTTGTGACTAAGATGCCTAAAACTTAACTAATAAATGTTTTTTCTATTGTTTCAGAACACCAAATCGGGTCCAACAATCATACCCTGGGGCACTCCGAACATGATTTCACGAACTTCCCGTCCGGCGATTCTAATACCAACGTATTTGCACCCCAAACCACCGTATCAGCTCATCCACTCCCATTAGACAATCAACAACTCTTGCACAGTGAAAAAAAACCAGAAAAAATGGTACCAAGTCTATCAAAAGCCTCACTTAATACCGAAGACGACTTTGACGTAAATGAATATTTCGCCCGATTACATGGAACTCGTTACGTGAGCGCTCCAATAAATAGTAATCCCGACGAAAATGCTAACTTAGCTGCTGAGGATAATCTGGAAGAAATTAATTTGAACGATGATAAGGTAGTAGAACCTCAGCAGAGTCTAACGGCGGATATAGCGCAGAATTTTTCTCAATTACCGACCGTTTTGCCCCATGTAGCTAGCGCTGTGTTCAGCTCGTTCTCCAATATGCTAAGTTATAAGAGCAGGGAGCAGACTCCTGATGATAGGCAGCAGGATTCATTCCAACCTGGTCCTGGTCCAGTTGGTTCAGGGTTCGTCGGGCAGAACTTGTCCGTTGATTCGTCACAGGTGGCTGAAGAAGTGGCTAAGGATGTTGCGCCACCGCCTAAGGAGATGGGAAGTGCTGGTAAGTTAATTTTCGTTTATTTTTCTGTGTTAAACACCGATATAGACCGTGAAATTTATTTAATTTTCGTCCCGCAGCAAAACAACTTGCCATAAGGAGTACTTTTGATGCATAAAGAAAAAGCAAAAAAATTATTCACAATTCTTTTTAGTTAGACTGCCTCGTATGCCGAGTGCCCCGGCGGCAAGGGGTCTCGGGTTCGATTCCCGGGTCGGGCAAAGTATTACTGGGTTTTCAAAAAAAAAGCTCAGTAATAGCACGGAGTCTGGAATTGTGCCCGGTATATGGCAATAGGCTCACCCCCTATTACATGGGACGCATAACATAAATAGTGAAAAAGTGGGTGTTACATTGTACAGTGGCATAATGTGCACCTCTGCCTACCCCTTCGGGGATAAAAGGCGTGATGTTATGTTATGTTCTTTTTAGTTAATAATATTTTTCGAGGAAATACGCACATGTGACACTAGACGTAACTTTGTAGGCACTATTCGCATCGCACGTGCCACCCGACGAGAAATACCTCTTCGAGATATCAACGCGTTATATAGGTGGTATAGATAATGTACCATAAGTTCGTATACCCTTTCGAAGTTTGGTGTTTGCCCAGTTATTTTTTGTTTAAACATTTTATTTGTTTGAAAAACTATTGTATTACCGAGACAGAACCATTTTACTTCGGGATGGAAACAATATAGATTGCATAATGTTATATCCATTTTTATTAGTAACTCAGTTTACAATTTTACATTATAGACTATTATTGGGAGTTTAAAATCGAAAGGGTAGAATTGGTTGTCAGACGCCCGAATACTGAAAACCTACTCAATTTTGTTGTACGGAAATATCGTGCGCTCTCTGTCGTTTTACAAAGAATTTGTAGAGACAGAACTATACTCGGAATTTTAATTCGATTTCAGATTTGACAATTTCAGTGTTGCAACGTTATGACAAGTACTAAATAGTGACGTTGCGAAATTATTCGATATGGAAATGGAATATTTCGGGATCGATTCTTCTCGTTTATAATTTTACTCTCGTAAACTAAGTTTATCAGGAAATTAAATATTTCAGACCGATAATTTACTTTCGACGATTAATTAACGATCTGAGACTTTTCTTTTATAATTGTGTGAAATAAATAAAAAATGTAACCATGAAGGAACATGACGAATAAAACAGATAGATGTATTATGGTAATAATTTATTTTATAAATTGTCGCCGTCATCGCTATCGCTGTCACTTTCTGTAACATTTATTATAAAACACACACACTGATTGTTTATAGATTTTTGTGTTCATCACTACACTATTATATGATACAAAAGGATAAAATAGCCTATGTGACTTATACCAATACACACAGCGCCATCTATACCAATAATTTCGTTTTCCCTCGAGAATATCAAATTTTTCCGGGATAAAAAGTACCCTATTATTTAATCCACACTTCTAACTTCACGTCTGCAAAAATTCAAAGCAATCGGTTTAGTAGTTACTGCGTGAAAGCAGAACAAACAAACAAACAAACTCACTTTCCGATCTACCTCTATAATATTTGAATATTGTAATACAACTTACTTCTATACAAAACATTTGTTGTCAAAAATAACAAGTATATTATCTATCGGAACACCAAGCGATGGTTTTCCAATGACCTTACTAACGGGTCACATTAGGGGTCATGGTGTCTCACCGTGAGAACACCATGGTTGGCTATAGCAGTACCCTTTACCTTTAGTGTGTTTGATTATTATGTTACTGCTAATACCTCTACAATAGGGTAGATGCCTAATTTTTATTTCAATGTTCGTCTGGTAGATTATTTTAAATCATTACACACGTATTTTTTTATTTTCTTCCAGAAACGAATACTTTCGACGATATATTGATTTGAAATGTCGTGTGACGACACTTCTATGTACATTTTATACGTAGAAATGACGTTTTAGCTTAGCCCCCACTCCTAAACTTTGATTCGTTTTCATCTAAGTATTGTTTTGTTACACGATACGTCATCATCCCAATTGAGTAGTTGCCAGGGTAAGAATATTAAAAATCTAATTACTCCGTCAGTTAGATTATAAAAAAATATTAGACACGTATTTTTTTCTTGTATAAAGCTTATAATACTGAGATAAAATGGCGTTAAGTTTAGGAGTGGGAGGTCGTTACGTCACAATGTGCTGTAAAATGTAGCACGCTGTGACGTCACACGATTTCTTTTTTTTTTAAACGTTGCCCCACATTAGGATTTTCTCCTGTGTCGTGGGTGCGTTTACAAACATACAAATTCACATACACATAACACCCAGACCCGGAACTACAATTTGTGGATCACACAAAGTGTTGTTCCGTACGGGAATCGAACCCGCGACACGTTGCACGGCAGCCGGTTGCCCAGCCACCGCATCAACCGTGCAGTCAGTTTCAAATGTATTTCAAACTCAATTTCAAATGAATATATCGTCGAAAGTATTGAATTTTGAGAGAATAGAAAAAATACGTGTCTAATGTTTTAAAATAATCTACCAGACGGACATTAAAATCAAATTTAGGAAACTACCGTATTATATGAGTACCTACTAGCAGACCCGGCAAAGTTCGTACCGCCAAAAAAATGTTTTCTCACCTTTTAAACCTTCCCTGGACTTCCACGAACATTTCAAGACCAAAATTAGCCAAATCGGTTCAGCCGTTCTCGAGTTTTAGTGAGACTAACGAACGGAAATAATTTTTTATTTAAATATATACATAGATGAATGCAAAAGTTTTTGAAGTTGTGGTATTGTAATTGAATGCCTATTGCCCGAATACTGAAACGCTACCCAATTTGAACATAACATCACGCCGTTTATCCCCGAATGGGTAGGCAGAGGTGCATATTATACCACGAGTAATAGGGAGTGAGCCTATTTCCATATACCAGGCACAATTGCAGACTCCGTGCTACTACTGAGAAGTTTTAAAAATCTCAGTAATATTTTGCCCGTCCCGGGAATCGAACCCGAGACCCCTTGCCAGGCAGTCGCACTTGCGACCACTCGGCCAACGAGGCAGTCGTAATATGTATTTCTTGCAAAGAAATATATTTTAATTTGATAATGCGTTGCTCCATTTGGACTCATGTCTAAATACTCAAACGCCACTCAATTGTAAATCCCGCTAGACGAAGTATAGTTCTGTCGTAGTTCGGGTGTTAATGTAAAGGGACGTTAATTTTCTAAAATCTCCTGCATCTCACAAACTTCTTATTATAAGTTTGTAGTAACGAGGTGACGCGTTAAATCATAGTTCTATTATTGTATCTAAGTTTAGGAGAGCCATGCTTCGGCACGAATGGGCCGGCTCGACCGGAGTGATACCACAACCTCATAGAAACCCGACGTGCAGCAATGCTTGCGTTGTGTTTTGTCGTGTGAATGAGGTTATTCGAGGCCCAATTACCCTCCCTTCCCAATCTCCCCAATGTCTGAATCCCCAACGATCCTCAAACTCCTAATCCCCAAAAGGCCGGTAACGCACTTATAACGCCTCTGGTGTTCCAGATGGCCATGGGCGACGACAATTGTTTACCATCAGGTGATCCGTCTGCTCGTTTACCGGCTTATGCCATAGAAAAAATACATAAATGTAAAGGGACATTTTCTAAAATCTCCTGCGTGTCACAAACTCCATATTATAACTCTGTAGTAACGAGTCGACGCGTTAAATTATAGTTTTAGGGTTAAAATACAATGCGCGTTTACATTTACAAACGTTATTTTTCATAATCCTTACTAATATTATAAATCTGAAATTGAATTTGTTTGTTTATTCCACCTTCACGCCGTAACTACTCAACCGATTGCTTTGAATTTTTGCAGACGTAAAATTAGTAGTCTGGATTAAATAATAGGGTACTTTTTAACCCGGAAAAATTGATATTCCAGAGGAAAAACAAAAGTATTGGTATCTATAGATGGCGCTGTGTGTATTGGTATATGTCACATAGGCTACTTTTTATTCTTTTGTGACGCGAGCGAAGCCGCGGGTAAAAGTTAGTTCACTATAATTCGAAGTTACTCAACTGGTTTGCCATGCTACCATGGGCCTATATTTATGAGCAGCATGCTAGTCAATAATTCCAATTACAAGTTTGATATTGCCAACCCGTCTTGAGCATGCGTGGTGATTAATGCTCAAACCTTATCCGTTTGAGAAGAGGCCTTTGGTCAGCAGTGGCCACTTTATAGGCTGTTGATGTACGGTTGAAAAATGGCTGCTGCTACTATAATATGTCTAATAACTTTTTTGAGGAGGGGTAGTCATCCAATGACTTGCCGGCCGGGTGAGACGAGAGGTAGTGTCTCTTACTGACTAAAAACCACCCCGTTCCTACTTCTGCACATCGAGCTGGAGCCCCGGCAACCCGTTAAGTCTTCCGCTGCTATGTCTAATAACTTAACTGACGAGTAACGGCGTCTTAATATTATGAGAAATGTTTTAAAAACGTCTATTTTCATAGCACAGTAAAACTGTCATATGTTCTGTCGTCGGCGGTATTTTCGAACCGATACGACCTTCAATCCTACAAGAAAAGAGCGTATTCCTTTTTAAAAGGCCGGCAACACACCTGTGACTCCTCTGGTGTTGCAGGTGTCCATAGGCGGCGCTAATCGCTTACCATCAGGTGACCCGTCTATTCCAAAGAAAAATCTTTATTAGATTTGACGTAACGTGGCCTACAATGGAAATAAACCGAGCGAGTCCAACACTCAATTGCCAACATAATTGCTAGACTGCTCGGCGCAGTTTAGAAAACTGGAAATACGTAGTTATAATTATACTGCCGTCTTATCATTGCTGGGGTTTTCTTTGAAAGAGTATGATAGTTTTTTTAATTATTTTTTTAAACGTTGCCACACTAGGATTTTCTCCTGTGTTATGGGTGCGTTTACAAACATACAAGTTCAAATACCCATGGCACCCAGACCCGGAACAACAATTTGTGGATCACACAAACAGTTGTTCCGTGCGGGAATTGAACCCGCGTCACGTTGCGCGGCAGCCAGTTGTCCAGCCACCAGGACAATCGTGCCGTCAAATCGTAGCTGCAGTATCAAGCGGAATTAGTGTACTTACTTATTTATATAGTGCAGCCCATGAGTTTATTACCAAAGGTTCCCGCGGCCCCGGTTCGAAGCAGGATTAGTAATGGAATGGTGTTTAGTCAGTAAGGCTCAGGACTCACGGCGTGATATTTTCCTCCGCCCGTAGCGGTTGCCGGCTTTGTAGAATACAGATGTGTATGTGAAAAATCAAAGCACATTTCAGCGCGCGTTTTATGCCTGCGGCGGTTGCGATTGTCTGCGGTGTCCCGCTGCTGTGAGAATCGCGTCGTTAGTCCGTAGAGTGTAGAGTCTGACACTCCCTCTCGCATGGAGTTTCTTGCTCTTCTTCTCCATAGGAATCTACATCTTGGAATGAGCAACTAGCTTCACTTCTTCAACAATGCCCTCCTGCTGCCTCAAGGTCTACTTAGACTACGGTCTGCTTATCATCAAATTAATTGTAAACTTTATTGCTACCTATAGTGATTCATATAAAACATAGTGTAAAAACATGTCAGGAAGTGGAGTGAATACTAATAATTACTACTGATAGAAGTTGATATTTAATAAAAAAACCAGTAGAAAAAGATCTGGGTGCTCTGGACTCTTGAAACCAATATCAATGACAATACAATTTCGATCGAATATAATCTAAATAATTATTTAAAGTCAACTCTATGCCTACGTATATTTTTCTTCTCCTCTTATAATATCTTCTGATTCACTTCGTTGCGAGAGGAACCAAGACAGTTATTCATGTCCCTGTGACGCGCCGGACTTCAGTGTTCCGGTGTTATCATGGTTGTATCTACTGTAGGCGGTTTTGGGAGGTAGTGGCGGGATTTTGCCAAGAAAAAAGCCCCTTATCGTAGCCGTTAAAATAGTATTCAGAGTACGGAATATAAAGAAAGAAAGAAAAATCTTTTATTTTGCTACGACACACAACAAGAATTTAGGAACACACAAAAAGCCTAATAAAGCCAGACTCAATACCAATTAGGTCATTAAATAACCATGCAGTACGGATGCAATGGGCGCTAGTGTTGCAACTCAAGAGTACGAATTTTTACAATACGAATGTCGATCGATCGGAATTGGATTCAAGAGTAAGCCCCCAGGAAATAGAAAACGTACAACCTTTTTAAAATCTAGATCAGACCACTCAATTTAAGAGAAAGCTTGTAGTCTTTATCAGCCAATTATCCAGACCACTTAACTGCTTCAGTATTAGGGTGATTTTCTACTAGACATGTGTTATGAGCCACTTAAGGGGCCAGTTAAATAGCAGCGAAGGCTCTGTCTTGCACATGCTGAACTGGTCCCATTTCACCGCAGACTTGGGACATGAACATGTATTGTTTTTTGTGGCATAAGCCGGTAAACGAGCAGACGGACCACCTGATGGTAAGCAATCGGCGTCGCCCATGGACACCTGGAACACCAGAGGCGTTACAAGTGCGCCACCGGCTTTTTGGGGATTAGGAGTTTGAGGATCGTTGGGGATTCAGGGATTGGGGAGATTGGGAAAGGGGAAGGTAATTGGGCCTCCGGTAACCTTACTTAAACGACGAAACACAACGCAAGCGTTGCTTCACGTCGGTTTTCTGTGAGGCTGTGGTATCACTCCGGTCGAGCCGGCCCATTCGTACCGAAGCATGGCTCTCCCACACTTGACTACATGACACTAGGTTTTTAGCATGAAATTATGTTTTTTCTCTCTTTCTTTCTATGTAACTATGCTGCGAGAATGTAATAGCTAAGATGTGAAACTCAAACCTTCAAGAAAAGAGCGTATTCCTTTTTAAAAGGTCGGCAACGCACTTATGACTCTTCTGGTGTTGCGGGTGTCCATGGGCGGTGCTTATCGCTTACCATCAGGTGATCTGTCTGCTCGTTTGCCTCCAATTCCATAAAAACAAACTGTGGGACCGTTTCCACTGATACTGAGCTCTGTAGCGGTGCGAGTGCGACGTGCTATGAAGATGCTCCGCCGCAAACTAGCTGCGCGAAAAAGATGCGCAGCTCGGGCTATGCGATGTATCGATAGTAGAGAAGCGGCGAGTGCGGCACGCGTCCTTCCATATAAAAACATATCTTAGTTGAATCCGTTTCTATACCTGTGCTAAGATATGTGTACCAATGAATATGATTGGGGCTAGCAGATACAGCAACGTACCATAGCGTTGTATCGTAGTAAGTGTGGGAGAGCCATGATTCGGCACGAATGGGGCGGCTCGACCGGCGTGATACCACGACCTCACAATTAAACTGACGTGACACCACGTTTTGTTTCGTCGTATGAGTGAGGTTAGAGGCCGGTACCTTTTCATGGTTGTATCTTCTGTAGATCCTGGCTTACAGGAGTTGCACCGGCATTGGGAGGTTTTGGCGGGCATGTACCTAAAAAAAAAGAGGCCGGTATCTAGCCGGTTCATTGGGCCTCTGAATCCTAATAATCATCAAATTCATCTCCAAAAATCCCTAAAAGGCCGGTAACGCACTTGTAACGACTCTGGTGTTCCGTGTGTACATGGGAGACGCCGATTGCTAACCATTAGGTGATCCATCCAATTTGTTCACAGGCTTATCCGATAAAAAAACAGCATATATCTGATGGAAAAGCGCCCTAAGACCACTTGAACACTCGAAACCAGTATATCTAGGAACCAATTATGACTGATTAGTTGAATATATTAATACATAATGTAAACTGGTTCTGTCTTGTCGGAAAATGTTGGAAAATTTTCATACTTAGATATTCTATCGTGTTATATGGCTAATCTTATTAAGCTGTCTATATTTATTGAGACTGGTGTGAACACGTCAAAGTCAAAATATTGACATATTTCAATTTTAATCTGATGTGTCAATAAAAAAAAATAATGAAATCATTTTTATTATCTGTAATTTAAAAAAAGGTTTAACAGTAAAAAAAATTAAATCTTAATTAGGCACTTTTGAAACGTCAATAATTGAATTGTACGTCGATCCGTCTGTCAGTGAAGCTAGGCGCTCGTTCCAAAGTGTAGTATCGAATGGAGAAGAACGAGCAAGAAACTCCATCGTTAATCTTTTAAAAAAAATATATTTTTTACAGTCTCGCTGATACATTATCTGATCGTTTACCTAATTTATATACAGGGTGGAATTTTGTAAAGCCACCTGAAGGGGAAGTACTCTTAATACTTTAGATAGAAAAATTTACTCAAAGAAAAGATTCCTGTATTTTTGAAAAGAAAGAAAACGGCGTTCGACCATTTTTAAAAATTTGCTTGCCTCACACGGTAATCGAACCAAATAAAATCTTTAAAAGTTGCACCCTATAAGTACTTTTATTGCAAAAAACTGAAGACTCTGTTTGTGTGAACTTACTTATCTCAGGAACTACTGGTTCGATTGGAAACATTCTTTTGTGTTCGATAGTATATTTATCGGGGAAGGCTATAGACTAAATCATCATCTTACAATTAATAGGAGCCGAGCACAGCGGGTGAACCCACGCGGGAATAGCTATAAATTACTATAAATTTCCTAATCTTAACCAAATTTTTCTTTTGTTACAGGTGCATCAAGCTTCAGGATAACATCGAAAAAGAGATACGCTCAAATACCAGGCTTAAGCTCAGGCACCAATTTCGAGACGTTACAGAAAATTGAACTTAATCCGTTAACGAAAAACGTTACAAATTACTTTGTACCATCATACGAGGGAAAAGCCGAGGAGCCCGTAGGAACACCGTCTCAAACGATAGAAGCACCTAAACATGACACATATGATATTTTCAGTCCAAAACCTGAGGCAAATGCAAGCGATTTTCAATCTAATGCCTTTAATATTAGTATGGATAATGATTCAAAATCGTTTGAAGAACGCTTGCCTCCACCTACGTCATACGCTACACAAGGCAACGCTACAATTCCTCCACCTCCAATGTTCTCTTCTCAAAGAAAAAGTTCACAGTCAGCCAAATCTGTACTGCCCCCATCAGTTGCAAGGCGAATTGGATCTAACCACCCAGTAATAAAGCCTCAAACTGTTCAAACGTTTAACACTGAAAATATATTTGTGCCAACTTTTGATCCAATGGCTTTTTCCAATGAACCAGCTCAAGCTATTGGGTCTTCGTTCGGTGAAACACCTTCCCAGTCGTTTGACAGCCAAATAGTCACGCAACAGCCGACGTCTCATAGCCAAGATGCTGCATTAGCTAACGTGCCAAGTATACCACCGCCAGCTCAATTCACGCAACCAACTTCAGCATTCACAGCGCCACCAAAAGCACCACCAACTCAATTACCTCCACAAACATTGCCGCCACCGCCTTCAAACATACCGACAAATCTACCAGCACCTCCAATGTTTGCTCCAACACAACCAACAAGCTCATCTATATTTGCGCCTCCTAAACTAGAGGACAAATCTAAATCTGCTACAGAATCAGTACCACCAAACATATTTGCGCCAACACCACCTACTCAGGTGCCACCAGGGCCAATCAAACCACCTACTATAGGACCAACGCCAAATATTGGACCACCGACGTTTTTCAGTCCGCCTCCAGTGGAATCTACGCCAATGTTTTACAGTACAGATAATAAACAAGTGCAACCAAGTCAGCAGTATGTATCAGAGCCTCCTAAGCCTTTAGTAGAACCGCCAAAAGCTACAGGAGCTGTGAATTACAGGCTGAATAAGAAACGACCGCAATATTACTCAGGACCTATCGAAGGCGTTGGATCTATCAGTAACAGTATAAAGCCTGTTATAGCTCCAGTTGACCCTGTAACATTCCACGGAGCTATGTTCACGCCACAACAGCCTGCTGACCTAAATGTGCCATCTTCATTTCCATTTGATTTAAGTAAACCAGCCGAAAATGAACCTTTAGTCCCTCCGGATAGCGCTCAAAATCTTATAAACGCACCAACTCCAGTTTTTGACATAAGTCAGACAGCTCCATACCAGCATTTTGATATTACTAATCCTGAACCAAACACAGCACATTACAATACAGCCTTCGATTTGAGCAGACCGACAACAGAAAACTATGAACCAGTAGAGCAAAAAGAATCCAAAGGCTTCGGTATAATTGGATCGCTAAAATCTAAGTTAAGCAGCATAGATATCAATAAGATTCAACATAGCGTGACGACGTTCTTCGATCCTGCTTACAATGATACAGCAAAACAAGACTTTAGCGCACAGCAAAATGTACCTTACGCCAATAATCCTTATCAGGCGCAAACGGCTCAGACGAATCTAGAAATATTTGTCCCAGGCCCCCAACAAAATATTCAACAATACCCCTACGATTATCAACATCAATCTTTATATTCAAACAATGAGTATTATAGATATCCAAATTTCCAAAATCAAGGCCAACCCGCCGCTGGACACTGTTCTAATGAGCACCATTACCCAAGTCACTCGCAACATCCCAAGACATATGACAACTCCCAACACGGATATGGGAATCAGCCAATGAATTCTATGTTCCATTCTTCCAACTTACATACACATGGGGATAATGTAATGACTGTTGAACCTACCAACGTTAACAATAGCAATGTAATGACATACAAAGAAACACAAGATTTTAATGCCGAAAGAGAAATGGATGAAAACGTAGCTAGAGCTGGACCTGAAGTATCAAGACTTCTACAAAGCACGACGTCTATAGAAGAACGTTTCGCTACTAATTTCTTTGACAATAAATATGCTACTGCAGCAGAACCTATAAAACAAGCTGATGAAACTCCTCATAATATCCCTCCAATAGGACAAGACAGGACGTTTACCAAGGATTCCTTTGAACCAATCAAACAAGACGCTCAAGTAGCAGAGCCAGTAGCTATGTTCAATCCAAACACTGTGAATCTATTTGCTAACTTAAAAATTGATAGCAAGGATGATGTAAAACAAACTGATGAAAAGCCTCATAATATTCCACCAATAGGACAAGACAGGACGTTTACCAAGGATTCCTTTGAACCAATTAAACAAGTCGCTCAAGTAGCAGAACCAGTAGCTATGTTCAATCCAAACACTGTGAATCTATTTGCTAACTTAAAAATTGATAGCAAAGATGATATAAAACAAGCTGATGATACTCCTCATAATATTCCACCAATAGGACAAGATAGGACGTTTAACAAGGATTCCTTTGAACCAATTAAACAAGACGCTCAAGTAGCAGAACCAGTATCTATGTTCAATCCGAACACTGTGAACCTATTTGCTAACTTTAAAGTTGATAGCAAGGATGATAGTAACGAGAAAACGAAAAATATCTTCACTAACCAAAGCTTTAAGGGCGAAGAAAAACAAAACATATCAACTAATGAAGCACAAAGCGTAGATTTATTTGCTAACATTAAAACTGAAAGCGAAGAAAAAGAATCAAAATTATTCCCCGCTATGGATACTAAAGCGAGCGTTCAAAGTTTCAAGGAAGATACGAAACCGCAAAACTTGTTTCCCTTTGAAAAGAAAGAAATTACTTCTTCTAAAGATAATTTACTTGATTCTTTGACCAAAGACGATGGTATGATTTTAGGCGTATCTTCTGTGCCATTATTTGGTCTAAGCCCCATGGTGGTTGAGCAATCCAAAGATGCTGTTGGATCAGAAATTATTGCAAGCTTACCTGAAAGAAATGCAAGCACGAGTTTCTTTGAGCATTCCCAAAAACTAGAAGACTATGGTGCTAAACACGCTGACGTAATTAACTCAAACGCTAGTTTCAGTTTCTTTGAAAATATTCCTGCTCCTATAAAAGATGGGATACAAGAACTAGTTACAGACGTAAAAATGACAAATTTCTTCGATAATTCAAATGTTATCGGTCAAATTGTGAAAGACGAGACGCTTGAAAATAATGAGAATTTTGAAAAAGACATTACAGCTGATATTCCAAGTACAACACAAGAAGACGATGAAAATGCTTCCGAATTAAGCATTTGCGAGACTTGCAGAGAAGTAAATAAACCTGAAGATAAAGAAGAAGATCAAGATGTGACTTCGCAACTTATAGAAAATATCACAGCCCCAATACAGCTATCAAATCCAGTTGAAGCCACTCTAACTGAGACACCTGTTGTAGAACCAGTTGGTACAGATCAAGAAACCTTTAACGCTGGTCAGTTTGAAGAAATATCTCATATTACGGAAGAAACAATAGAAACTATTCAAGTGCAATCTGCTATTGAACTGCTAGATGATGTTGGTGAGATAAATCCTATGAATTACGGTTGGAACGAAAGCGCTCTAAAAGAAGATTACAATTTCAATATCGACAACAATCAAATAGGTTTCTTCGGCAAAAGTTCCCTCTTCTTTGACAAAGGTGCTGCTACAGAAGAAATCGAAAATGAAAAGAATATGTTAGTTAGACAGATGAGCGTTCCTTCTGCGCCACCGGCTGAAGAAGAAGAAGATTCAAAATCTGACGAGACTGGAGTTTTAGATGTAAATTCTATTGAGCAAGACGCTAAAAAGGACTTTCCACTTTTCGAAGAATTCGTTATAGAACCTTCGGAAAACGATGATGATAATTTTAAAGAACAGGAGAGATCTGAAGGCGTCTTGGACTCCTTCACGGATAGGATAGAAAAATACAAAAGCTTAGAACCGTCTGAATGTGGCGATCCAATGGGATCATCGTTCTTCCCAACGCCACACCCTATAGGAATGTCATCCTACTTTGACACAGGAAATTACGCTGTCGAAGCTCATTACAGAAATACGAACACTCGACCAGCTCCTGCTTTAAGTATACCGCCAGGTTTCGAAGAAGAGTATAAGAGAAGACTAGCTCTAGCGAAGCAGAGAGAAGAAAATTTGAGAAAAGAAATGGTAGTTGTGCCTGACACTTCCACTCAGACTAAAACTACGTCCGTAGCGACTTACTGCGCATCTAGAATCGCTTCTAGCTACAACTGTCCCCCTCCTCCAGTAGGATTTAACATTGAAACCAATCTTTCCAATCTAGTTAGGGATGAAGACGAAATTACTCCAGAAAATCTATCACCCGCCATATCCCAAAACGTTTTAACAGCTGGTGATGATAAACCTCCGGAACGATCAAACGATAATGAGACTAAACTGCCTGAATTTGTGAACGTTTTTGGCTTGAAACCAGTTGAAGATTTTGATGATAAGAAAGAGAAAGAATCATCAGTAGATGTGAGCAAAACGGCCGAAGAACAGAAAGTATTGCCAACATTCCAAGCATTTGGTGCAAGCAAACCTAAAACCGAAGAAAAACCTGAAGAGAAACTACCGGATCCAATTAATTTCTTTTCAGACGCAACTACGAACGATCCTCCTGAATCATTCAGCCGTCTCGCTAGCTATTTCAGTTCCCCACCAAAAACAGACCACGCGAAATCTTTTTTTGAACTAAGCCAAAGTCAAAATCATTATAGGCACGCCACGTCAGAGCAAAAATCAAAAATCAATGACCTAATCAAAGATTTAACGTCGGTTCAAAACATAAGTCCAAATAAAGATCAAATCATTAAACACGTTAATTATTTCACAGTCGAATATGACACTGTGTTGTCAGAATTCAAACATGGTGAAGTTTTCGGTAAAGAGTCGGCGGATTTAAACGAAGATGTGAACTTAGATAGGGATTTTATAAATTGTAGACATTGTACGGAGATTGTGAATACTAGTTTTACTGTTAGAACTGCTGTTAATACGACCTCTGATCAAGGGACTAATACAGCTCCAAATAACGATATGGAGTCCCAGAAAGCAGCTGCCCGCGGTTCCGTGACTGTGAGCTTCGATGGTGTTACTGTTCAGGAGGATAACAATATGGGCATTTTGAGCGAAGCTGAGGTAATTATTGGTTGTTTTTTTATACCAACTATTTTAATACATCTTAGTTTACATCAGAGCTGTATTATCTCTGAGGCAAATTAGGCAAGTACCTAGGGTTAGGTTAAAGACACGCGTGTCTAATTGCCCATAGAGTGGCGGCAGCGCCAAAGGGGGCGCCTATGATGTGCTTGTCTAGGGCGCTCTCTGAATTTAATCTGCCTCTGGTATTATAAATGCGATATAAACCTTAGTATGCCTACCAGGTATAAAATAGAATAAAGGTTAGGTATTATTATGATTTTTGGTCTCTATATGTCTTGTAATTAACATCATTTGTATCCTAAAATATTTCACATATCGTATATCATTATTAAAACCCACTATGAATCTCGCATTTTCCAAAAACTTTATTAATTCTTAAACCTTTTGTACAATATTGTAAAAAAATCAATGTTGTCTATTGACCCCTACAATATATGACGTAGGGTCAAAAGACACTGATCAAATGAACCCACTTAGACACTAAATAAGTAGCGTGGGGTCATAAATCACAAAACTATGACTCCATTTAGACATTATATGATTTTTTCACTTCAACTAAAAATGATTGAATATACAATATTAAAATGTCATATTTTCTTCTAAAATAATTTTAGTGACTTTAATGTTATTATTATAGTTATTCAAAGCTACATATATCCCTAATAATATTTTTTCTAGAACCGTTCAGCAACAGAATATAGTCCAGTACAACATCATTGGTTTTATCGAGTGGATGTTGAAGATAAATCGATATGGAGAGGTTTCTCTGTTCAAGATTCCAGGGCTCTGGAAGATGCCTTCTTGAACCGTAAGTATCTTTTCTTATGAGTGGACGAGAAAATGAAAATATTTATTTGTAAACATTATGTACAATGGAATTTCTTCTCCCCTTATAATATCGTCTGATTCACTTCGTTGCGGGAACCAAGACAGTTACTCATGTCCCTGGGACGCGCCGGACTTCAATGTTCCGGTGTTTTCATAGTTGTATCTATTGTAGATCCTGGCTTACAGGAGTTGCAGCGGTTTCGGGAGGTTGTGGCGGGCTTGTCCCACAAAAAAAATTGTACAACGGGATGTTACGTTTCTTAGTATAATATTTTCCATCTATGTTTTGTCATACATCACATGCGGATTTAGTTAAAAATTGAGAGTTTGAGTAGGTAATGAATAATGTCAATAAGACGTATCCACCTGATGGTAAGCAATTTACGCCACATAATTATGAAGAAAATTTTAAGTGTATTGTCGGCTTTCTGGGAGTTGGGGTTGGAAACTGTGAAGATTGAGCCCTCGAAACACAGCGCAAGCATTGTCACGCTAGTTTTCCGTGAGGCCGTGATATCTGATAGATACAACTTTAATCTCTTTGCGTGATCCACAAATTGTTGTTTCGGGTCTGTGTGTGATGTGTATGTGAAATTGAAACCTAGTGTGGGGCCACATTTGATTTTAAAGAAAAAACAATCTCGCTGCCGCAAGCATAGCTCTCCCACATGAAATACTTTTTAAACGACTTCAATAGAAAAATGAAGGTTCTAAGTTTGACCTATATGTATGTATAGTTGTGTGCGTTTTTCTCGTGATTGGCTGAACCGATTTTGATGCGGTTTTCAGAAAAGTTTTTGGTACACCTTTTTTTTGAGGAAGGAAAATCATTCAACGCCCAACCTATGCTTTAGGTTGGGCAAGAGGGAGTGTCAGACTCTTACTGACTAAAAACCACCCCGTGCGTACTTCTGCTCTTTGAGCCGGAGCCCCGTCTTTGTTGCACTTAGGAGAAGGTTTTAGTATATTAATTAACCGATTTCATAAAAAGAGAGAGTTGAAGTCGGTTTTTTTAAATGAAGTTTATAAAAGAATTATTATTTAGTACCGTAAGCTCAAAACTTTGGCAGGTTTAACTTGAAATTGTGTTTGTTTTTTTCAGCGAACCTTACCGAAAACACGATGGTGGCTACCGACGGCGGTAGATACGATGTGAATATCGTTGGCAGACTAAGAATACCAGTGTACTGGACGGACAAACCAACAAATGTCAGGAGGTACGTTACCATCAGTTTAATGGACAATCTCTTTACATGAGCTGCTGTTTACATGAGAACATTAGCTGATGACGATACCTAAGTACGTGTGTCGCCTGGACAGTCACCGCTACCACCAGTTGACTGGACAATCTCTTTACATGAGCTGCTGTTTACATGAGAACATTAGCTGATGACGATACCTAAGTACGTGTGTCGCCTGGACAGTCACCGCTACCATCAGTTGACTGGACAATCTCTTTACATGAGCTGCTGTTTACATGTGAACATTAGCTCATGACGATACCTAAGTACGTGTGTCGCCTGGACAGTCACCGCTACCACCAGTTGACTGGACAATCTCTTTATATGAGCTGCTGTTTACATGTGAACATTAGCTCATGACGATACCTAAGTACGTGTGTCGCCTGGACAGTCACCGCTACCATCAGTTGACTGGACAATCTCTTTACATGAGCTGCTGTTTACATGTGAACATTAGCTCATGACGATACCTAAGTACGTGTGTCGCCTGGACAGTCACCGCTACCATCAGTTGACTGGACAATCTCTTTACATGAGCTGCTGTTTACTTAGAATTTTTGTTCTTTTTATTTACAGATGCAGTTGGTTTTACAAAGGTACTACTGATGCTAGATATGTGCCTTATACAGAAGCTGTCGCTGAAAAACTTGAGGTAAATATATGTCTTAAGTTTGCTATGGTTATGCCCGAATAGTCAATCGCCACTCAATTTTATGTCGCGCTTAACTGTAGGTCTGTCACTACAAAGTCTTTGTAAAATGACAGAGATAGTTTTTTTAAGGGTGGACAGTCATCGAATGACTTCTCCCGCCTGGGTGAAGCTGGAGGGAGTGTCAGACTCTTACTGACTAAAAACCACCCCGTTTCTACTCCTGCCCTTCGAGCGCGAGCCCCGGTAACCCATTAAGTCCTCCGCGGCTCCGTATCGGCATCAGCCCTATTGGGCCCCATCCGTGGTGGTCTGATAGCTCTTTGAGGCGCGCGAGGTATGCGACGCGCCGTACGCTCGGGTCTGGTTCTGGTCGGGCGGCGAGTTACCCATGCTTACCGTCCGCAGGCTCGCGCTTGCGGTGGACGGAGATAAAATGATAGAGATGGCGCGATCTTTAAGTAGAATTTAAAATTGAGTACCCTTTCAGTATTCGAGCGTGTAGCTTGTAACTTTAATAAAACAATGAACAGGAATTTCTCACAGTGCAGTTGGTGCAATGACTTGGCAACCGGCCACTGTACGAGGTGCCACTAGTTCGATTCCCGCTGAAAACAATAGGCATGATGACAAATTGTTATTGTAATGTCCGTCTGGTAGATTATTTAAAAACATTAGAAACATATTTTTCTTACGGAAACGAATAGTTTGGGAGATATATTGATTTGAAATATCATATGACGTCGCTTTTGAGTACGATTTATACTCTAAAATTACGTAGCTACCTCCCACTTCTAAACTTTGATTCGTTTTATTACGACAAAATAAAAATACACTATTATTTTTTCATTACTTAACTGACGGACTAATTAGATGTTTAATTTTCGTACCTTGTCATCATCCCTATTCTTCGTGTAAATCTTCGATCAACAATAACAACTAGATATCGGGTCGGCGCAAGAAAATCGTCTCGACAAATAAGAGCTCACTTGAGAATTGAGCTCTTATTTTGTTTAGTATGCTCCAAACATGGCCAACGTAATCACGTCTCACGATGCTGCAGTGCGTAATTGCAAGTTGCAAAAATAATAACCGAAAAAGCAGTATAACGGCCGGAGTGTCTTACTTTCGATAAGTAAATAAAGTATAAGTTATATTTTAAGCTTTTAAATTAGTAAATAATATCAAATTAGACAAAATTACCAATTATAAACCAACGCCACCAATGTTTGTGCGTGTATTGGCGATCCCTTGGCCAAGCTTTGCCAACACGCGCACAAACATTTGTTTAAACAGAACAGTGGATGCATGGAGTCGATTTGTATTTTAAAACAAATTTGTATTGTAACCTGATTGGAAAAGAGTACTTAACCTATGGAGTTTCTTGCTCGTTCTTCTCCATAGGAATCTACACCTTGGAATGAGCAAATAGCTTCACTTTTAAATTTATATTGTTGACGTTCAAAAGTGCCTTCCTGGTCTAACTGAAATAAATGATTTTGACTTAGACTTTTAATGACAAAGTTAATAAACATATGATACACAAAAACGTACCGCTAATAAAAATAAGTGATGTATACTAAGATCCCGAAAATTATTTTTTAGTGTTCAACACGACTCCATACATACCTCCTGTAGCGAAATTCAAAATTCGAAGAAGCAAAACGCAACAAAACAAAACGATATAGATCACAAGGCAATAACGGAAAAATTATCTTTATTTGTTCTAACTTAAGGTTGAATTCAAACTAGATATTTTATAACTTATGTCTTTTAATTTGTACATGACAGGAGTAAGAAAATGCTTTTCTCGTCTTATGTGACGAATGGTCGTAAGTATTAGATAATATTTTGACGATTTATGACTTTATTATTAGGTGCCATGGTTGTTATTAGGTTGAATTTAAAACCATTTTAAAACATTTTTCTCAGTTTGTTATTTTTTTACTATTATTATTCACACGGACAGAACTGGAGCTTGATTTTGTACGTAACCCTTTATCTAGTTGTTATTGTTGATCGAAAGTGTAAATATTATTTAGCGTCTGGATAATAAATGTGCATATGAAATCACATATATTTTGTTTTGACGTTCAAAAGTGTCTTCCTGGTCTAATTGAAATAAATGATTTTTAACTTTGACTTTGTCATAATACGTTTGGTAACACACCCACGACACAGGACAACAAAGTAATTGCTTAAACATTTTCAGGAGGAATACCGTCACGGTATGACTACAGCTGAATGGCACAGACGTCTAGTCCTGCCCAACGGTGAAGTGGTCGTGATGCACGGACCGAGTGTCATGGTGCACTTCCTACACAGCGAAAACGCATTCAGTACACCACCGGTGAGTTGGAAGCCTTTAGGACGAATTTAATTATAGTTTCTTTAAATAAAAAATGGGTGTTACATTGTACAGTGGCATAATGTGCACCTACCTAATGTGTACAAATTCTATCATTCAATACAAAATAAAGAAAAATAAACCTTACGACAAGACCAGTAAGGATGCATATACATTATAAATTAAAAATTTAGTGTATGTTTTATGATTATAACATAATATTCTAATTGGGGTGTTTGAGGGTGTGCGCTAATTACGTTACATGTTGTATATCCATTAGTAATTTAAAACAAACTGCTACAACCACCTCTCCATTACTCCATTTACAAACAAGAACCCCACCTTAAATCCAGCCACCAAACCTATCCCTAATCCTCTTCCACAGCTATTCTCCTTCGGTAAGCGAGTATATAGGAACCCCCTAAAGATCAGAGTGTCCAGAGACCAGCCTGAAAAGATTGACCACTTAATATTCGTAGTCCACGGCGCCGGAGAGTACAAGTGCCAGAAGGAAAAGAATGTTAGTTTAAGTTTTAAGTTCATACAATTAGGGTCGATTTTTCAATCTATACTAATATTATAAAGCTGAAGAGTGATTTTTTGTTTGTTTGTTTGTTTGTTTGAACGAGCTAATCTCCGAAACTAGTGATTCGAATTGAATAATTCTTTTTGTGTTGGATAGTCCATTCATTGAGGAAGGCTATAGGCTATAAAATATCTCGCTACGACCTATAGGAGCCGAGCAGAGAGGGTGAAACCGCGCACAAGTAGCTAGTAAATGATAAAGATAATTTTAATTTCCGTTAACATGAGTCATATTACAAGAGTACATGCAATGGTGTTAAGTTAGGAGTATGAGCTACATGTTATGCCGTTTTGGCGTACAAATATTTAAAATCATAATTTAAAATTAAGGTAATTTTTTACTGGGGAATGACTTTGAATATTTGACAATTCTTCCATACTAAAAACTGTCAAATGTCAATTTTATTCTACAGTTAAGAATTTACTGATGATTGAAAAATCGGCTCTTAATTTATAATTATCTATTCCTATTATCTAAGTGTGTGAGAGCCATGCTTCGGCACGAATGGGCCGGCTCGACCGGAGTGATACCACGGCCGAGCAGAAAACCATAGCGAAACAACACTTGCGTTGTGTTTCGTTGTGTGAGTTAGAGGCCTTCCCCAATCTCCCCAATCCCTGAATCCCCAAAAATCCTCAAATTCCTAATCCCCAAATGGCCGGTAACGCACTTGTAACGCCTCTGGTGTTCCAAGTGTCCATGGGCGACGCCGATTTATACTTACCATCCGGTGATCCGTCTGCTCGTTTACCGGCTTATCCTATAAAAATAAAATTAAAAGTACCCTTAACCGACGAGCATGCGTGAAAAGACTGATGACTGTTGATTAAGCAAAAGAGGTATGTAAGAATCGTAGCAATTGGCGTTCCATAGTCTCAGCCTATCCCCATGGAAGACAGATGTGATATTATACATGTATTTATGTAACTGATGAATTAAATGATGATGATATTCCACAGCAGTCCAGTTCTCGTCCCCGTGTCGTAAGAAGGGGTCACGATGAGTCAGAGATCGAGGACACAGAGCCATCTAGTATCGACCACCTACTACTACTCTGTCATGGCGTCGGCTCCGCTTGCGATATGCGGTTTCGGTCCGTCGAAGAAGTCGGTAAGTTATTTTACTTAATATGTGTAGTAGACGTTTATTAAGATAGAATAAACAAACATACTCTTAAAATAAAAATAGCCTTTATTAATATATCATTTCAATAACGATTGAATTTCAAATTGTATTTAGTAATTTTATTTATTTAATTTTCTTTTCTAACTTAATAGCTATGAACATAGTGGAAAGATAAAAGGTGTGACATTACGTTATGAGATGTAAAAAAGAACTTCAATTCGTATTTCAGTGGAAGACTTCAGGACGACTAGTCTTCAGCTAATACAGTCGCATTACAGGAACTCATACGACCAGGGCATCGTCAGTCGAGTTGAGGTAAGAATTCAAGGTTTCATCATCAGTACACTCATCTAAATTATTGGAAATGTAGAAAGGATGGATGAAAGTAGAGTAACGAAAGAAGTATAGGGTGAACTCATCTAACTTCGTGACAAAGGCATTTGAGTAATAAAATACCAATAAATTATTAATTAATTTAATTCAGTCTCCGCATGAGTTTTAATCAGTCTTTTATGAGGAATATTAGCACAAATAATCAGATTTTTTTCTAGAAACCTAAGAGTTCTACACAAATTTACTAAACCGAATTATTAGGCGAGTCACAGAATTAGATGAGTTCACTATATACAGAGCGGATATGAATGGGGCCGTCGGAAGAGGGCACCTTAGACGGACATATAGTGCCCAGATTGGCGATATATTAAAGAAGGGCCAAATTAAAAGTACTCTTAACCGACGAGCATGCATTAAAAGATTGATGACTGTTAATGAAGCGAAAGAGGTATGTAAGAATCGTAGTAATTGGCGTTTCTTAGTCTCAGCCTACCCCCATGGGAGACAGGCGTGAAGTTATGTATGTATGTACATCTAAATTATTCACAAATTGTACATAATTCTTATACAAACTATGTTTAAAAAAACTGACTTCAACCTCCTCTTTGATAGGACTGTATATTAATAACACTGCAGTGGAATGAAATAATAGCGACTATATGCAATGATACTGTAAATGCTTTCTCACTTTCGTTTATGACCTGGAAGCTGGGAAGGTCTTTGGTGTGGGGCGCAATCTGCATCGACACCCTTGCACCTTCTTATCTTCCAGTAACAGCCGGTTGTACCGGTTCGGCTGCTGCCACTGCATATAACCTCAAGTGGCGCAAGTATAACAACCTTGCTGGTATCTTTGAGCCGTTTGGGGTTGAGATGTTAGGTCCGTGCGGTCCAAGTATTTTATTTAAAAACATTTCGAAACGCCTCGACACATCTCGTGGCCAGAGTGCCAAGCACGAATAACTATCGCATTCGTAACGTAATAGTATCGAGCGAGTTAAGCGTTCTAATTGGTTGGTTTATTTGAGCCGGCCAATCAGAGCGCTGAACGCGCTCGATACTATTACGTTACGAATGCGATAATTATTCGTGTTTGGCACTCAGAGGGTTGGTCTATTTCTCGGTCAGAGGTTAAGCATTGCCATACAACTTGGCGTTATTAATTAACCGAATTCATCAAAGAGGATATTGAAGTCTGTTGTTTTTAAAATATTTATTCTTTTATTCCTGTGTTGTGACTCCTAGGTGCTCCCTATTTCATGGCACGCCACTCTCCACTCGGGTGAGACGGGAGTAGACCGCCGTCTCTCTCAGATCACTCTCGACAGTATACCTCGTCTCCGCAGCTTTACAAACGAAACTGTACTTGATGTCCTCTTCTATACCAGTCCTGTGTTCTGTCAGGTATGTGACTTGTGACCCCGTTTTAATGCTGATTGTGACTTTTGACCCCGTTTTAATACTGATTGTGACTTTTGACCCCGTTTTAATACCGATTGTGACTTATGACCCCCTTTTAAAAAATGTGACTAATGACCCCATATTCCTTAATAATTGAATTTGTTGTGTAATGTAGTTGTTATATGAAATATTAATATTAAAAACAGAAAACTTGCCTTTTCATTTCACAAGAGATTTATAAAAGTGCACATATCTTTGTGTCTATTAGATTATGAGACTAACCATTAAGTCCACCATTCTATACAGGTGTAAACGAAACGATGACAAAAAAATGTTATTTAAATTGACAAAATACAATGTCTTTTTTGATACATAAAATGTATTCTATGTCATCTGTATAACATCAAATTCACTAAACTTATACTAAAACCTACTTTGTTCCACAGACAATCCTAGACACAGTGTGCAAGGAACTGAATCGTATCTACGAGTTGTTCCTACAACGCAACCCTGACTTCAAAGGCGGGGTCTCGCTCGGGGGTCACTCGCTAGGCAGCGTCATACTGTACGATCTCCTGTGCCATCAGAATGAAGTAAGTATTTTTTTGCGACCAGTGACCCCTTGTATAGTTATTTATTGTCTGAATGTGACCCCGGCTGCAAAGGCGGGGTCTCACTCGGGGGTCACTCGCTAGCCAGCGTCATACTGTACGATCTCCTGTGCCATCAGAATGAAGTAAGTACATATTTTGTGATTATACACTCCTTGTATAATGATTTATTATTTAAATGTAACCCCAACTTCTAAGGCGGGGTCTTACTTGGGGGTCACTCGCTAGGCAGCGTCATATTGTACGATCTCCTGTGCCATCAGAACGAAGTAAGTATTTTGTGATTATTGACCCCATAGACACCGTGAAATCTATTTCGTCTCCGTCCCGCTACAAAACAACTTGCCATATGGAGTTATTTCGATGTATAAAGTAAAAACAAATAAATGAAGATATCATTTTTTAGTTTAAAAATAACATTCATGGAAATACGCACATGAAATACTAGACGTAAACTTGTAGGCACTATTTGCATCGCACGTGCCACCCGACGTCCCGACGAGAAATATCTCTACGAGTATCACATGGCGTGATGTTTTGATAATGTACTGTAATGAGTTCGTCTGCGCTTTCGAAGTTTGCTTTTGGCAATGGTACACCAGTTATTTTTTGTTTTAAGCACTTGCTTCACACGGTGCTTGCACTTGACCTATTTACGGGGGCATCCCTCAGTCGGTCGTTCGCTTTGATGCGCTTGCGTCACCGTGGTCGTGTCGTGTAGTGAAATTCGGTAGTATTTGTATTCATGTAGTATTTAATATGTCTCACGATAGTTATTAACAAAACATCAACTCTAAATAAATCATTATATTTTTGTTTGTTCCCTAGCTATCTCCAGAAGAGTGTCGGCATAAGTCAGACAAGAACTACGTGCACGGCCCGGCGGGGACCGGCCAGCCTGCCGTCAGATACCCACAGCTTGACTTCGCGCCCGCAGCGTTATATGCACTCGGGAGCCCCATAGGTGCGTTTAAAATGTTGTTTTTTATGAGATAGGCCGGTAAACGAGCAGACATATCGCCTGATGGTAAGCAATCGGCGTCACCCATGGACACCTGGAACACCAGAGGCGTTACCGGCCTTTTGGGGATTAGAAATTTAAAGAATCCCAACATTCTTTAGGGATTGGCGAGATAGAGGAAGAGCTCACTCCCACAACGAAACACAATGCTGTGTTTGATTCATTATTGTGGTCTGCTCGGCCGTGGTATCGCTTTGGTCGACCCGGCCCTTTTGTGCCGAAATATAACTCTCCAACACTTAGATTTAAAACGTTTGTCTATAAAAGATTTAAAGTGTTTAATTTAAGCCCGTTTCCAAAATGTAATGATGATTGAATATTTGAGGTCATTTATTATTTTTTGTATCTTTTCATTACAACACAATTCGCAGTCTTATATGACATTACTATACGATAGTTTTCAAGTGGTCCCTGTGTCTAAAACAGTAAAGTCTATGAAATTTAATAATGTGACTTATAACGCCATGATTATGTTCTAGCCACGAATAAAACAAATCTATTTCTTAAAATTAAATAATGTAAATCTTTTTCTTTAAAATACAAATAGTATAAATCTAATTCATAAAATTACAAATACATAGTATAAATCTAGTTCATACAAATACAAATACATTGTATAAATCTAGTTCATAAAAATACAAATATTATAAATCTAATTCATAAAAATACAAATAGTATAAATCTATTTCTTAAAAATACAAATAGTATAAATCTATTTCTTATAAATACAAACAGTACAAATATATTTCTTAAAAATAAAATGTAGTATAATTCTATTTCTTAAAACTACAAATAGTATAAATCTATTTCTTGGAACTTTCAAGAACTTTAAATATATTAATATATACTTAAAAATTTCCCCCACCCATTTCTCATGAAAGATAGACCCATTTCTCATAAAGACGCCCATTTCTCATGAGAAATGGGCGTCTTTAACGTCGGCGGCATATCAATTAATTCTATATATTTATTTCTGTGTTCCAGCTATATTCGAGTGTATCCGCGGCGTGGAATCACTAGGCGCAAGTTTCTCACTGCCGACCTGCAAGAACTTCTTCAACATATTCCATCCGTACGATCCTATCGCTTATAGGTGAGTTTTTTATTGTATAATCCGGTAAACGAGCAAACGGATCACCTGATGGTAAGCAATCGGCGTCGCACATGGACACCTGGAACACTAGAGGCGTTACAAGTGCGTTACCGGCCTTTTGGGATCAGGAATTTGAGGATTGTTGGGGATTCAGGGATTGGTCGTCAACCCCCTCCCTACCAAGGGGCTAATTTCCCCAAGGGGCTATCCATAATACGTCACAACTTAAGGGGGACGGAAGGGGTCGACGAAGTGTGACATTGTGTGACAAGGGGAGGGAGGGGGTTGACGAAATGTGACATTGTGTGACAAGGGGGAGGGAGGGGTTCTACGAAGTGTGACATTGTGTGACAAGGGGGAGAGAGGGATCCAAAACTTTGTGATGTCACATTTCAAAAACTATTATAATCTGCGTTAAAATGCAAAATATATTTGTATTAATGTTTTTTATTGTGTTAATTGATTTCACTTTAATATTTTTTAAAGTAATTCAAGTGGAAATAAAAATAACAATAGTTTCTATACTGTCATTCTGCAAAATGTGACTAGTTGTGACAAGGACGGGGGGGGGGGGGGGGCAAAAACATGAACTTCGTGTGACGTAATTTATAGATGGCCCCCAATCCCTGAATCCTTGGTATGATCCTGGTTGGTAATTACTAATTAGGTCTCCGGTAACCTCGCTCACATGACGGAACACAACGCTGTGGTTGTTTCACTATGGTTTTGCTCGTTGGTGGTGTCCGGTAGAGCTGGCCCAGGAGCGCCGAAGTATGGCTCTTCCGAACTTATAATTATGATGCAGTCATTTATTAACTTACTAGCTTTTTACCCGCGGCTTCGCTCGCGTCACAAAAGGATAAAAAGCCAATGTGACATATACCAATACACACAGCGCCATCTATACCAATACTTTTGTTTTCCCTTCGGGAATATGAAATTTTTCAGGTATAAAAAGTACCCTATTATTTAATCCGGACTTGTAACTTTACGTCTGCAAAATTTCAAAGCAATCGATTCAGTTGTTACGGCGTTAAAGTGGAACAAACAAACAAACTCACTTTCCGATTTATAATATAAGTAAGGATTTATTGCTGTTTCCAGAATCGAACCCCTAATCAACCCGGTGCTGCGGGATCTGAAGCCGTACCTCATTCCACATCACAAGGGCAGGAAGAGAATGCATTTAGGTAACGTATTAATATAGAAAGGGGTAGACAGAGAGTCAGAAGTTTCATCGAATAGGGTAGTTTCCTAAATATTATTTTAATGTCCGTCTGGTACATTAATTTAAAACTTTAGACACGTATTTTTTCTTTTCTCACAATATTAACTCGTCGAGTACCGTATTTATAGACATAATTAAAGAACAATAGGTTGCGGTCACCGGTGACCGCTTGGTGTTTGACAGTTTAAATACTTATATTAACCCGTCGAGCGTCCGCGTTCCTTATGATCCAACGGGTGCACACGTGACATTTGGATAAAGAAAGAATGAAAATGCATTTATTTGGCCATTGGCACAAATCAAACAAGGATCATTACAATAGAAATAAAAAATACAGTCAAAATAAAAACAAAACATTAATAATAGATTTTATAAAAGAGAAAGCAGCATGGAGCATTTTTTCTTATGGTCCACCGGGTGCTCATAAAGACACTCGAGGGGTTAATTTTAAATATCGTGTGATGTCACAGCGTGCCACATTTTGTAGCACGATATGACGTAACGACCTCCCACTCCTAAACTTAGCGCCATTTTATCTAAGTATTGCAACTTAATACGAGAAAAAAAATACGTGTCTAATATTTTTTTCATTATCTAACTGACGGACTAATTAGATTTTTAATTTTGATATCCTGGATACTACCCAATTCTGCCCAATAGTTTATGCGTAGGAGACCAACAAACATACATACATTTGAACAAACATTCATATTTATTATTAAGTTTACCAGATCACATAATATAACAATACGCCTTTTAATCCCTATAGAGTAGGTGCAAATAACGGCACTTAATGTGTACAATGTAACACCCACTTTTCACTATTTATGTTATGAGTCCCATGTAATAGGGGGTGAGCCTATTGCCATATACCGGGCACAATTCCATCCATACTCCGTACGTCTAGAAATTAAAACTGAGATTAAAAAAAATATTTAGCAGCAACAGCAACCCTTTGCAGCAGCATTTTGCTCGACCCAGGAATCGAACCCGAGACCCTATGCCCGGCAGTCGCACTTGCGATCACTCGGCCAACAGTAAACAAACATGTTTTTTTTATAATTTATATAGGTATGATACTATTTACTATTATGTAATATATATGTATAACTATATTACTTAATAATTACCATTATTTTTCCTCTCTCTCTCTCTTTGTTGTTAGTTTATTCTCCGTACCTTATTTTTCGCAGATTTTCTACTTAAACCCTAAGGTTGACTGGTAGAGAATGCCATATGGCATTAAGTTCGCCTTATGTGCCATAAACAAATTATGTATGTACATTAAAGAATAAATAAATAAATGATTTCCTTACAGAATTAAAAGACACGATGGCTCGGGTGGGCGCGGACCTGAAGCAGAAACTGCTGGAGTCGCTGCGGAGTACCTGGAACAAGTGGAAGACACAGCCTACTGAGGGACAACTGGAGAAGGTGACTATCTAGACCTGCAGCTGTAGCCAAATGCCATTTAGCGCTTGTCTACATGTAGAATAGAAAACTAAATTATATGGGATTGACGTAAATTTTGACACACGTCAGTGTCATCCCCATACATTTTGATTTCTACTCTCACTGTAGACAAGCGGTACAGTGGCGTATGGCTAAAGGCCCTGGGCATATTGCTAGCTACTTACGACCAAATAACCGAGGCTCCGGCTCGACGTGCAGGAGAAGGAACGGGGTGGTTTTTAGTCAGTAAGAGTCTGACACTCCCTTCCGCCTCACCCGGGCGGGAGCAGTCATTCGATGATTTTCCCCCCTTAAAAAAAACCCACGACCAAATACTGAAAGGCTACTCTTTTTTTATGGGATAAGCCGGTAAACGAGCGGACGGATCACCAGGGCCTTTAGCCAAACGCCACTTTAGCGTTTGTCTACCAAGAGAGCAGAAATCAAAATGTATGGGGATGACATTGACAAGTGTCAAGATTTACGTCAATTCGGTTATATAGGTAATTTGGTTTTCTATTCTACATGTAGACAAGCGCTAAATAAATGGCATTTGGTTATAGCTGCTGATAGTAAGCAATCGGCGTCGCCCATGGACATACGGAACACCAGAGGCGTTACAAGTACGTTACCGGCCTTTTGGGGATTAGGAGTTTGAGGATTGTTGACGATTCAGGGATTGGGGAGATTGGTTGACTCAACTCTCTCGTACACACGGGTGTACGAGAGAGTTGAGTGCCCATCGCGCAATTGTACACACGGGTGTACGAGAATCGCGCACCGATTGGATATTTTTTCTGTGACGTATATTTTCAAGTTTGCAACCCGTTCTTTATTTGATTGAACAGAATAGTTAATTCGCTTTTCTATTAAAATATTTACCCGTGTGTACGAGAAGCGCGCGAGAGGATATATGTATTTTTCGAAGTTTTGAAGAGGTTTCGCTAAGAATAGTATTTTTTTTAAGGGGGGAAAATCATCGAATGACTGCTCCCGTCTGGGTGAGGTGGGAGGGAGTGTCAGACTCTTACTGACTAAAAACCACCCCGTTCCTTTTCCTGCACGTCGAGCCGGAGCCCCGGTTACCCGTTAGGTTCTCCGCGACTCCGAATCGGCGCTAAGAATAGTATAATATACGATTACTAAATTATCAATCTCTTATTACAGGTCGTAGAAGAAGAATTAGAGAAGGAACAGTTGACGGACGATAGCAAAGAAGAAATGGCTAGAGAAAAGGAATTGGTAAGATATATGTATTAAACTCTTTTATTTTGATGCTTTTCGTGTCAATGGGGGGGGGGCACAATAGTTATTTTTTTGGTCATCGGATGGCGCAAGTGTAGCAAGAGGTTTTTGTGTAATAATAATAATACACCGTGAAAATCTTTATCTTATATTTTATTATAATTCTCATGAGAGCGTGATCGGTGCAATAAGTTGAAAACCTAAGAGTATGTAATATAGTTTATAAAATGACAGAATACATATACCTATACCAATATCATAAACACAGATAAACATGAATACATACGACTATCCATTAACATAAATATATATATATATAGTAACACAGAAACCACATATTTTTTTTACAGTCAACCCCAGAGAAGCTGGGTCGTTTGAATGGCGGTCGTCGTATAGACTATGTCCTGCAGGAGGCTCCGTTGGAGATGATCAATGAATACTTGTTCGCTATGAGCAGCCATGTTGGGTATTGGTGAGTAAAAATTACACTACTATTTTAAACCGACTTCAAAAAAGAAGAGGTTCTTAATTCGACCTGTATGTATTTTCTTTATGGGATAAGCCGGTAAACGAGCAGACGGATCACCTGATGGTAAGCAATCGGCGTCGCCCATGGACACACGGAACACCAGAGGCGTTGCAAGTGCGTAACCGGCCTTTTAGGGATTAGGAATTTGAGGATTGTTGGGGATCCAACATTCAATTCCTAATCCCCAGGGATTGGGGAGATTGGGGTAGGGGAGGGTAATTGGGCCTCCGGTAACCTCACTCACACGACGAAACACAACGCAAACGTTGCTACACGTCGGTTTTCTGCTCGGCCGTGGTATCACTCCGGACGAGCCGGCCCATTCGTGCCGAAGCATGGCTCTCCCACACTTAAAAGAAGAAGACTGAAGAACTTTAAGTTGTCCCGTTCCAGTATCTAATCCGACAACTTGCACTGTAGCCGGTTATCCAGTTATTGTGGCAAGCGTACCGACAAACGAGCAGACGGATCACCTGATGGTTAAGCAATCAGCGTCGCCCGTGGACACCTGGAACACCAGAGGAGTTACAACTGCGTTGCTGTTAAATGGGCCGGCCGGCCAGTACTCATATAACTAACTTGCTACGTACAAAATATGTCTCAAACAAAGCTTTAGCTAGATTCTTAGATGTAGCTTTTTAGACCATGTTATTTCAAAGTTTTCTCTTAGCAAAGCAACAAAAATAATCTTATTTTTATTATACAGGGAATCAGAAGATACAATGCTGCTTATACTCCGCGAGATATACTCAGCGCTCGGCGTGCAGCCTGACTCTACAGTACCGCAGCAGAACATGACTGTGCAGAGGACCAGGCCTGTCAAGCCGGTATGTAACTCACTCATACTCAAAGATACTTAGGTACACTTACTCACTGACAATATTTTCTTACTCACACTTATAGTCAGGATCACTCCCTTATACTCACTGACACTCATAGTTACTCACACTAACTCAGTATCACTCCCTTATACTCACTGACACTCATAGTTACTCACACTAACTCAGTATCACTCCCTTATACTTACTGACACTCATAGTTACTCACACTAACTCAGCATCACTCCCTTATACTTACTGACACTCATAGTTACTCACACTAACTCAGTATCACTCCCTTATAATTACTGACACTCATAGTTACTCACACTAACTCAGCATCACTCCCTTATACTTACTGACACTCATAGTTACTCACACTAACTCAGTATCACTCCCTTATACTTAAGGATAGTCATTGTTACTTATAGTTACTTACTCACTCACACTTATAGTCAGTCTTACTTACCGACACTCATAGTTACTCACACTAACTCAGTATCACTCCCTTATACTTACTGACACTCATAATTACTCACACTAACTCAGTATCACTCCCTTATACTTACTGACACTCATAGTTACTCACACTAACTCAGCATCACTCCCTTATACTTACTGACACTCATAGTTACTCACACTAACTCAGTATCACTCCCTTATACTTAAGGATAGTCATTGTTACTTATAGTTACTTACTCACTCACACTTATAGTCAGTCTTACTTACCGACACTCATAGTTACTCACACTAACTCAGTATCACTCCCTTATACTTACTGACACTCATAATTACTCACACTAACTCAGTATCACTCCCTTATACTTACTGACACTCATAGTTACTCACACTAACTCAGCATCACTCCCTTATACTTACTGACACTCATAGTTACTCACACTAACTCAGTATCACTCCCTTATACTTAAGGATAGTCATTGTTACTTATAGTTACTTACTCACTCACACTTATAGTCAGTCTTACTTACCGACACTCATAGTTACTCACACTAACTCAGTATCACTCCCTTATACTTACTGACACTCATAATTACTCATACTAACTCAGCATCACTCCCTTATTCTTACTGACACTCATAGTTACTTATTTTAAGTCTCACTCAGTCGGACTTACATTATTTTTGTTTGTAAAGGTCTTTGAAAGAATATTATTTTTATTTAAAAACTTATTTTGATGATTGATTTTATATGTCATAAGCCGGTAAACGAGCAGACGGATCACCTGATGGTAAGCAATCGGCGTCGCCCGTGGACACCTGGAACTCTAGAGGCGTTACAAGTGCGTTACCGACCTTTTGAGGTCGGAGATTGGGGAAGGAGAGGGGTAATTGGGCCTCCGGTAACCGCACTCACACGATGAAACATAACGCAAGCGTTGTTTTACGACAGTTTCCTGCTCGGCCGTGGTATCACTCCGGTCGAGCCGGCACATTCGTGCCGAAGCATGGCTCTCCCACACTTGATTAATAAGTTTTTTTTTGTTACAGGATGAAACGATAATCGTCAATAATTCAGGTGAATATGTTTTTTTTAAATAAGCTATGCTCAATCAACTAAAAATTACGAGTTACCCACGTAAATATAATGAGAACAGCTCTTCATGGCAAGCGTGCGCAGTCGCGACGTCGCGTAGCTTACTGAGACTATTAAAAATCGACTGCCTCATTGGCCGAGTGGTCGCAAGTATAATTGCCGGGCAAGAGGTCTCGGATTCGATACCCGGGTCGGGTAAAATATAACTTGATTTTTTTAAAACACTCTCAGTAGTAGTACGGAGTTTGGAATTGTACCCGGTATATGGCAATAGGCTCACCCCCTATTACATGGGACTCGTTACATAAATAGTGAAAAGTGGGTGTTACATTATACAGTGGCATTAAGTGCCGTAATGTGCACCTCTGTATATGCCTCCGGGGATAAAAGGCGCGATGTTATGTTTATTATGTATTTTTTGTTTAATATAATCTCTTCTTTATTTGACTGTAAGTTCTAATTAAGACATATTTTTTATAGATTAACACTAACACAGTATTGCGCGAATCAAGAATCGAACTCCATTTTTTTTCTTTTTTTACAGACTTTCCGTCGACGAGCCGTGGCCCGATATGAAAATGTAATAGAAAAATAATAGTTTAATTTTTTTATATCTACCTTGCGTAATATGTTTAAGAAAATCACTATGCGATTGTATAGAAAATATCTATGATTCTTGTGACTTATGCGCGGTTTATAAATAGACTTACAAAAAGGATTACCTATTTAATAGGTTAGATGCCTAATTTTTATTTTAATGTCCGTCTGGTAGATTATTTTAAAACATTACACACGTATTTTTTATTTTCTAACAGACACGAATACTTTCGACGATATATTGATTTGAAATGTCGCGTGACGTCACTTCTATGTACATTTTATACGTAGATATGACTTTTTAGACCCCACTCCTAAACTTTGATTCGGTTTATTTATGTATTGTTTTATTATATGACAAAATAAAAAAATACGTGTCTAATATTTTTTCATTACCTAATTGATGGACTAATTAGATTTTTAATTTTCATACCCTGTCATCATCCTTATTCCAACTAGTAGTTCCGGAGGTAAGCGCGATAAAACAAACATATGCTAACTAAAAATTTAAATATAGCTTTGCCGGAGTGATACCACGGCCTCATAGGACATCGGCGTGGAACAACGCTTGCGTTTGTAAATGAGGTTACCGGAGCCTTTGGGCCGGTAACGCACTTGTAACGCCTCTGGTGTTCCAGGTGTCCATGGGCGACGCCGATTGCTTACCATCAGGTGATCCGTCTGCTCGTTTATTTGATAAAAATCTGACATTGTCCAATTTCGATTTTTTATTTTTCGTTTTTGGTGTTTCTACAAAGGTCGTGTAGTGATTTTCTTAAAGTATTTTGTGTAATTATAATTATTTATATACAAACATACTAACATTAATATTGTATTTAGTGAAAAAATAATGCATTTTTTCTCTCTACGCACCATTTTTTTTTTATTCTGAAAAAAAATTAAGATTTTTTTTTCTGATTTATTGTAAAAGCGTTATGTAGAATGAAAAACGTTATGAATTGGATTACTGATAATTATTGGGACAATATTAATAAAACAATTAGGTACTTTCCCTAATCAAAAATAAATTATTTCGACTGTTCAATACAATGAAATATTAAAAAATAATCACACTCCCATTAATTGATTTTATGACCGACTTAATATTATTATTGTTTCAGCAAATTTTTAAGAAATAACTACGCTGTTTGACGCTAAAAAAACGTGACGTCACAACACATAATCTCGTACAAAATTCATAGAAAACTGTCGTTTTTGATAGTTCGAAAAAAGTATTGAATTTGATTAAGTAGTTGGCAAGTACACAATTGTTTTTTTTTTTCAGTAAATAGGGTTTAGTAATGAAATTTAGTTAATGACATTGAGTTCAGCACGTGTAGCCAAATGCCATTTAGCGCTTGTCTACATGTAGAATAGAAAACCAAATTATATGGAATTGACGTAAATTTTGACACTTGTCAGTGTCATCCCCATACATTTTGATTTCTACTCTCTCTGTAGACAAGCGCTAAAGTGGCGTTTGGCTAAAGGCACTGGTTACAAAAAGTTTGATTTTTATATTTATTTGTTTTATTCTGCTTATTTTAATTTTTTCCGGAATTATGTAAAAGTAAACAAAGTGATTTTGCTAAAAATCTGAAAATAAGCAGATACTATTGAAGCGAAAGCAAATTACACTAATAACAAAAAAAAAAAAACGAAAAAATGCAGTATTTAATGTTAACAAAAACAAGATTTTTTTTTCAGAAAAAAAATGTAAAAAAAATATTTATGAAAAAAATAATTCTACCTACTGTAAATTATTTTCAACAAGAAAGCAAGATATTTTTTTGTTAAATTTTTATTAAGATTATTAAGTTACGCTCTGTGGTATAAATAAATAAATAAATGAATAAGTAAAAATAATGTTATTTATTATAATAACATTATTCATTAAATATAATAAGATACAAACAACTATATATTTTAAAACACTGTCCACTCCATATCACTAACACCATCAGCGAAATATCTATATTCCCCACACTTGGCAAACGACTTGGGGATTAAATTCAGACTTAATTACATCCACTGCTGGACAAAGACACTCTCTTTAGGCGAAAAATCTATAATCCCCATGCTTGGAAAACAACTTGGGGATTTTGTCGCCGAATATTTAGGAGATACTGCATTACAGTATGTCTAGGTGACTAGTCGCAGGCCTACGACATTATCGGATCTTTTTCTTTCTATACGCATATTTCTTTCTATTTTAATCTATACGTATGTGTCAGCTGATCTCTGAAACGTCAAAACGAAATTTTGATAAGATTATTTTCATCGTTTTTCACATTCTTTAATATAATAGGGTTCAAAATCCTGTAAAAATTCGTAGATTGCTCTCCTTACATTTCCCTTCACTTCCGCTGTAGTTACAGCTGTATACAGTCACTCACTCGTACCAACAGCCTATAGGTACCCATTACTGAATTACTGGGCAAAGGCCTCTTCTCACACGAAGGTTAAAACATTAATCACCACGCTTGCTGAAAGCAGGTTGGCGATTTCAAACTTATAATTAGATATTATAAGTCCAGATTTCTTCACGATGTTTTCCTTCATCGTTTTTATATTCAAATGGACAGCAGTTTCATAATATATTATGTTTTAATATAACTTTTAAATATTTAATTAGGTTTTTGTTTTATTAATGGCTGAATGATACTCGAAGGACACACGGCGTGATTTTCTCCCGTACCCGTATAATACAGATATACAAAGTGTTGTTTTAAAGCCGCGTCATTTTCTAGGAGGTAACTCGGCTATAGATTCTGAGTCCGAATCAATAAAAAAATGTAGGTGTTTTTTTTTTCATTTTTCTGTAAATTACGGAAATCCCTAAGTGCGAACTACACGCCGCCGTCTTGTAACTAGCTTTAAAAACAAACTCAAACATGTAATTGATATTATTCCTAATTCCATAAAACTTCAATAAGAAACATTGTTGTCGCTTATTCTGAAATACTGTCGAACTTGAACGATTTATTATAGCCGTATTTTTAACTATTGGCCCGAAACTTTCTCTTACATTGAACCTTTATGACTTCTGTGACATGTCCCCGAGAAATGACACAGCTTCAAAATTACACCTTGTATATGTAAAAAAAACCTGCCGGACTAATTAGATTTTTCATTTTCATACCCCGTCGTCTTCCCTATTGTACTACCTTTGATGTGAAATATATATTAGTTAAGCTAATAAGAACTTGATTATATACTTTGAAACAAACACCGACTTCACCAACCACCCCTAAGCCATCTCTTAAAGTTCCTTAGCGAGACGTAGCACCTAAACTAATCCCTTACTTAGGTTAGGTGACATTAAACCAAAATGTCGTTTAATGTCACCTATTAGCTTAGGGGTTCCTTAAAACTAAGGAAAGTTTGTTGAATACGACCCTTAGTTTCTTCAATCGAATGGTCACAAGATGCGATTGGTCTTAAGATATTTTCGAGTTCGAAAAATAGTATGTATTGTAGTATTCTCGAACTCTCAATAGTAATACGGAGTTTGGAATAAAAAAATATCAAGGGGAACTTTAACCAAATTGAAGATACCAGTTTGGTCTCGCTAGATGGCGGTAAAGTAGCATAAGCGTCATATTAATGTCTTGAATGTCCAATGGGTTGCACTATCTATTGAGGGCAATCGTTTTTTAGAAAACCAAATGCCGCTAAAGGAGTTTAGATCCTGCTTGTCCAATCACTGTAGCTATCAAATGATATATGAACAATAATTAATTCGCTATTGGACGAGAGGTTCACACTAGCGCCACCTGTTGAGCTAAAAACAGTAGCTCCCATTCTCGATTGAACAATTAGATCTTTTTTGTCTAAAAGATAATGAAAGCTTAATTCCAAACTCCTATAAAATTAATTTAAAAGTTATATTAAAATTATTTATTCTAACGCCCTAATAGTAACATGTATATTTAAAAAATAAAAAATATTTCGGCCCTTCAAATTTTGGAATAACATAAAAATAATATTTTTCTGTTTCTATTAAACCATTTCTGGTTTTAATTTCTACCAAACTGATGTTGTTTTTATTTTATTTTAGCTTCAAATTCTTGCATTGCAAGTTGTATCGTATCGTATACGTTCTTAATAAAAAAATATTATTGATAAATTGACATTAGAAATTATAATAAAACAGATTTTTTTAAATCCGCTTGTGTTCGGAATTTAATAAAGTTCAATAAATTATTTTTATTATTATATGGCATTCATTCTTATATTTAACAAATTGTAGATTTTTAAAACGCACAAATGATCACCTGCCATGTGACGCCCACTATAAATTAATTTACTAAAAAAATAGTAAACTTTTCATAACAATAATGTCAATTTTATCATTAATGTTTTTAATACTTACACTTGTTTTTTTTCGTCACACATTGACATAAAAAAAATGATTTATTGGCGCCAAATTTTCGTCTTTGAGTATTTCTTTTTCTAACAATGTCGTGATTGCGAAATAATATTGATAGTACATAAATGCTCTATCATTTAATACGGAATCACACAAACTAGCATATTTATTTCTCAATGTGAATTAGATGGAAAAACTACTACAATCATTTTATAATCAAATCTATTTATTAAAATATTATTTGTAAAAATAAATATGCTCACGGAAAATATTAATTGTACCAGCAACATTGAAAGATTTTGGCGCCATTAATTACGTCAATGTCAAAATATGAAAACGTAATTTGAGGTTATGTTACGTTTAGTTTTTCATACATTCTTTATTATAGTTTTAGTCAAAGCTACTTGAATATTCCAAGCCCTATTTATTTAAAACGACATAATTGTTATATTATTTTTGTTAGGTTACTTTCATTAATATGTAAACCACAATCATGTGAATGAACTAAATTGTTAACTTAAATAAAGTTTATATTTTACTATTTTTTGCGTTTTATTACTTTCATCTGTTCAATACAGTCAACTACCTACCTCATTAGCCGAGTGGT